AAATATTTTAGCTTAATGGCAGTCAGATAGCATAATGACAATCGTTTATTATCGATTTCATCGGTAATGGAAATGAATCTGATTACCTCGGATTGCAATTTTTGTAGTGCAGTAGGTCGTTCCATGCGGGATGCCATGTAACGCTGTCACTGATGAAATTGCCACAACGTGACCGTGATTTCTTTCGATCATATTTGGTAGGAATGTTTTCATCGTCTAAAAATAACGTTCAATCAGATAGATATTGTTTTTGTCGCATTTTATTTGCCTTTGTTTTTAATATATGCAATTATTTGTGATAAATACACTATAAATATTTCCGCAAATAATAAGATAGCATTAATGGCTCTTTTATACAATTTACACATTTTCTATCTTTCTCCTTTTCCTTCATTATCAAATACACTTGCCCAACAGTGCGCCATAAGATTAACATCCACGACCCGAGAAATTTCATTGATGTCGTAATTTAATAATGTTCGAAGAGGTGCAATACCGGCATTGTTGATTAAAATAGTAACATCTCCAACTTCCTTTTTCACCTTTGCTACCACTTTAAAGACTTCATTTTTGTCTGATACGTCGCATCTATAAGGCCTGAACAAATACTAATTTATTTCTAGAAATGATAACTAAAATTGTGTTTTTTACTCACGTAAAAAAATATTTAAATTATTACGCATTATTTATCAGACTTTATTGGAAATTGTATAAAACAAATTTTAGAAACATACGTATTTTGGAAACATACCGATAAGCATGTACTGAACTTTTCTCCATTTCTTTAATTTTATTCATTGTCTGCACGTTGGTTTCTTTATTGATATCCCAACATATTACTGTTGCTCCCAAGGACGCATAAACAATTGCTAATTTTCTTCCAATTCTGTGACCTGCACCAGTTATCTGTTACGATATATAATAAAGAGCAAATTATATTTCTTATATCAAGGCTAAAAAGATTGTGTCACTTTCTCTTCGAGAAATTTCGCAACGCATACCGTATTCAATAGGGATATGTATCTTCGGAGATCTATTGAAAAATAAAATTCTGCTACTGAATATAGGATGTGTTGCAAAAAATTAATAAGATATAAAAGTTGGAACTTTATATTTTTCAACTGCTCAATCGAACTTTCAAAGGAATTCCATACTTGACAATATTATCGACAGAACACTGATATTTTTGCAAAATTTATGTTTTATTGGTTGCGCAGAATTATAAATGCTTTCAAACAATAAAAATACGCGTGAAAATAAATTCAAATATTATTCAGTATGTGATGAAAACGATGAAAAATTTCAAAGTAATATCTCCAGCTATCAGTTGGCGTAAATATTTACTTGATATACGAAGGTGGATCAAATATAAAAGAGCCTTTTGCCAAAAAACCATATAATTTTCAAAATCAATTCTAATTTACATTTTTTTATTTTTTTACATAGTCCCCCATCTTATCTATACACTTCCTCCAACGGTCTAGTAATTTTTTAACTCCGGTATCATAAAAAGTTCGCGGACGTGCATCAAACCAATTGCACACGAACTGCTGCACCTCGTCGTTCGTTGTAAAGCGCTGTCCACCAATGGCTTCCTTGAGTGGCCGACACATATGGAAGTCGCATGGTGACAGGTCTGCGCTGTAGGATGGATGTTTTCTGTAGGACAGCCCACTGTATATCGGCCAATTTTTGTTGTGTTACTGCTGTGATGTGGGGTCTGGCGTTGTCATGGAGAAGCAACACACTTCTGATCAGAATGCCGCTCCTTTTTGAACGATGGGCAACTCGAACTGAAGTTCCTGAGAGATTTCAAGAACAGTTAAGTGCCGATCGCTTTCGATGAGCTCTCAAACAACCTCGGTGTTTTGCGTTATGATGCTGGTGCGGGCACAGCGCGGGTGGGCAATGTTTTCAACACACTACTTTCTTAAATTCGTTACACCACTGCTTCACCCGAGCCCATGAAAGGGTTACTTCCCCGAACTGTGGGGGTAAACAGCGCCTAATTTCAGCAGCATTTATATTTTCGTTAAAGAGAAATTTAATTATAACACGTTGTACATCTGCGGGGTGTATTTCTTTTTCTCTCATTGTGATTGCTGCTGAGAGTAAGAAGCACGTGGCACGTCAACGTTATTACT